CCCCCCCCCCTCCCCCACGTTTTGTTCGCACTCTTTCCGCTCCGCTTACGTGTGGCGATGGCACCGGGTATGGTGTTTATGTTCCGATGTGCCGCACGTGTGTTCTGATTACTACTCGACGGCCCTCACTGCCCGGCGCAGGCGTGGGGAAGTCGTTAACGTACTTCGTCTTGTTGATGAATGATGACCCCTCACTCTACATATTCCAACCGAACTTGGGGTTGCCAAGAGGGAATGAGGCCTTGATGCAAAGACACACACGTGGTCGATCGCACAGCACACTGGCCGAAGAGACGTGGTCCAACGCACGTACTAATCCACACCTTCATACCCCCCCCCCCCCCNACGTTGTCCGCCTGCTTTCTCCTTGTCAACACACGTTAACTCGTCGGTCTTTTCCCGCGAACCTGTAACTTATCGGCGATGTCGGCGGCGGTTTGGGGTGCGGGGGGGGCTGCAGGACCTGAACCGGTGCATCGACAAGATCGAGTTGGTGGACTTCCACCAGGTCCTGGAACACGAGGGCATCAAGTTCTGGTGCTACAACGCCGGGCACGTCCTCGGTGCGGCCATGTTCATGATCGAGATAGCGGTGAGTAGCGCAAGCAGGAGCGAGTTGGTCTCTCAACACGCACAGCAGTCGAACCGTCGTAGTCTCAACGGGTGATAATATTGTTTCATTCCCAGGCGTCTTTGCATGCAGAGCGAAGCATGTCGGGTTTTTGCTGCTGTCGTGGCAGCTGTTTCCGGTTCAGCGGCGGAGGGGCAGACAGCTTGAAGCAAGTGACAGAGGCAGGCAGCAGGGACCAAGTGGGCCTCACAAATCCACCAACCTGCAGTGTTGCTCATTTTCCACCCCTGCCACTTGCTGGTATCTGACGCAACCACCGCTGTTGTCAAATGTGCTTGCCGTTTCCGCGGGCCACCTTCTTGCCGCCGCATTCGTTCTCACCATCCCCCCTGGCTGCTACTCGACAACACGACGCTTCCCGCGGCCGCGTTGTCGTGGAGCAACCAGGGGGTGCACGTGCTGTACACCGGAGACTATAGCATGGAGGCCGACAGGCACCTCATGGCGGCCGAGATGCCGAGCACCTCCCCGGACGTGCTGATCGTCGAGTCCACCTATGGAGTGCAGGTGCTTTTCGCTTTCGCGCGCATGTTTGTTGTTGTTGTTTGTTGTTTCTCACATTAGCTCTAAAAACAAAAAAGATTGGGAGCCCGTGGTCTCAAAACCCGGCATACACAACCCCACGAAGAAACAGAAAAAAGTAGGGTACAAAAACCACTCGGAAGAGAAACAAAAATTATAGAAAGAAAGATCAGCTACCGCACCAAACGAGAAAGAGCGTCGAGGAGACCGATCAAAATAAAATAAAAGGAGAACGGGGAACGCTTCCCACACCCGCCTACAACGCCGGAGGGTTCCGTGCCGGGTTCCCGCCGACCAGGCATCCCCCGCCCTGCACCACACCCCAGGGGGTGCAGCAAGACGGGGGGCGAAAAACAAACACGCATGTGTGTGCCGCCGTATCTAGCTACAGCAGTGCCTGCTGGGGTTGTTCTTTGCCTCGGAGGTTGTTGTTGTTTGTTGAACTACCGCGTTGCCCATGGTGACACGATCCAAGCACAAAACAATCAAGTGAGTTCTGTGTTGATTGTGGCGGTGACCAACACGTGGCGAAAACAGTGGTGTTGTTTCATGCCTTCGTTCGCCTGCATCCTGAGGTTTGGGTGTTGCTGATGGGCGGGGGGCTAGCGGCTTGGTATCGGTCGCGCATCTATGCACACACAACTTGACTGCCACCTCCTTCCTGCCTTGCCTTGCCATCTATCTCGTCCCCCAAAATATACGGACCAACCCCCCCCCCCACCCCCCCACCCTTAATAGGTGCACGAGCCGCGCAAAGAGCGCGAATCGCGGTTCGTGGGCACGGTGTCCAAGGCGGTCAAGAAGGGAGGGAGGTGCCTCATTCCTGTCTTCGCGCTGGGGCGTGCTCAAGAGCTCCTGCTCATCCTGGATGAGTACTGGCAGGTGCGTGGTCGGTTTCTAGAGCTTGGTTGTAGTCGGTTGTCGTGACGGCGATTGTGTAGGTGGGGCGACGATGGGTGTTTGTTGGTATGGATGGCCAGGAGTGGTGGGCGATGGGGCGCAACTGGTCGTGGCGGCGGCAGTTGTCGTGCGTGTGTTTGCGGTGGCATGAGTGTTGCTGGTGCTTGTCGCATTAGTAGTCACTTCCGAACGGCAGGGTAGGCCGACGCACTTGGGAAATATCTTGTACCTACCTCTTCGCCCGCTCTGTACTGAACCTGCATCACCCCCCTCCCTTTCCTTTCTCGGTCGCCCTGACTGTTGCCATATCCCTCTTTTGACTCCGGCGCAGCAACACCGCGAGCTGCACCACATCCCTATCTATTACGCCTCGCGGTTGGCATCCAAGGCTATTCGGTAAGTGCAACAGTGTTGACGGGGACTTCAGATCTCGTTTCATCACTAAATTTATCAGATGTTGCTTGAGTCCAGGTCCGGTCCTAGAGTCATGTACAATGGAAGCACAAGCGGTACTTTTTTTTTTTTCTGTTCTCCTCTACAGTACCCTGGCACGTAGTACATGGGACTGAGCCGACCATTCCTTGGTTTTTCTTTTGCTTCTCCGCGCACGCTCCCCCCCCCCCCCCC